AATTCTAAGCACTACACAACAGCGCATAAATTTTAGGACGTAGCCTTGCTTGTAAACGTATAGGTTTATATATCATGGGAAATGCTACTTATCCTGGAGTTCACCAGCCCTCTCTGTGGGCACTGGTGACAGACAGAACCCTTTCCCCGCTCCCACCGGCGACGCCGACCGTCCGATGACCGGACCGGCACGGTGCCGACGGAACAATCGATCCCGACGCCCGCCAGTAAACAGCAAACAACCACTAATTTTTGTAGGGTAGCTTCATTCCTTCTACCAAGTATTGGACTATTCCCGATGCATCGTGGAAATAAAAATGAAAATGAACAGGTCAGATCCTATAGTCCTATAGCGCACGCAATCCTCCAAGGGGCACTGCCACACCTATTTGAGAACTCGAAGATCTCGCCAAAGCCCTTTAAAATAAGCTTCGCATCGTAGTGACGTAACAATATGACGCCTCCGCCGATATTCTTAACTTTCAATTTTGCGATTGATGTGATGTGAGTAGGCCATAGGGACTCTCAAAACAGAAGCCCAATTTATTTCACCCTCCGGACCGGTGATTACGGAGCGAGCGAAGCGAGCGTAAGTCTTTCCTTGGAAATTTCTGAGTATGAGCGGCCGGCCGGCCTGCCGGCCGGCCAGCCGTGGTCACGCTTTTGCGAGGCTTATATCTCAGCAACCACTTGACCGATTTACACGCGGTAATTTTTGTAGGGTAGCTTCATTCCTTCTACCAAGTATTGGACTATTCCCGATGCATGTGGGTGACCCCTTATGCACGTGCCACGTGCAAAACGAAGAGGTGTCACTTTTGTAGTTGTTGCAATATCTCCGTAACTACTTGGCCGATTGCGCTGAAAGTTGGCATGTAGGTAGGCACCCACTAGGCAATGCATATCCATGTGCCAGAGTTGGGGTGCTGCTGCACGTGCGCACGTGCAGGGGTCGATTACAGATCTCGAGAACGGCTGGACCAATGGCGCTCAAATTTGGTACATGACTAGGGACCGGTTAGTAGGGTGCCGTGCAAAAGTCAGTTGGGACCCATTTTGCACGTGCGCACGTGCAGGGTGCCGCTTCCAGATCTCGAGAACGGCTGGGCCGATTGTGCTCAAATTCGGCACATCGCTAGAGACCGGTTAGTAGGGTGCCATGCACACGTCAACTGGAGGTACCCCCTTGAAATTTCGCACGTGCAAGGCTCACCCTCTCGCTCCTCTCGCTCGCTCCGTTAGTCGCCCCAAAAGGCGTTATACAGAGAGCTGTTCGGGCAGCGCATGCTATTGCAAAATTTTGCACCACGCATGCGCAGTTGGGGTCTCTCGGGTGCCAAGCTCCGCCCTTCGGCGTATGACGTCACACGTGTGACGTAGGCTCCCGCAAAATCTTTCAGTTTTGCGCAAGAAGAAAATAGTAGCTGCAGGAGGCGAAAGTGGCGCGGATTAAAGTTTACCCTCATATATTTCTTATTGTAAGTGGTTAGTATGGTGTTATTTTGGTATCATTATCTTTCTTTTCAGTGGCACATTGCTATTAACCACATTTGAACGCATTTTACTCAGTAATTGAACGAAACACACCAGTCCATCCGCGCCACGGTTCGCCGCGTGTCGCGTGGCCCTCGGCTTTGCGGGCCGGCGGAGAGTGGGCGGAGCATGGGCGGAACCAGGCGGCTGACATCATCGCATGTGTGACTTCACACTCAGCAAAATTTTTTGCGCGGACCCGAACAGGGCTCTGGTCTATATACTCTGCTCCGGACATCACTAGAATCCTAAAAAATCAAAATGTTTGTAACCAAAACAGTAATATTACAAAATAGTCAACACTGCATAGTTACGTCAGCACATACCCTCACAACCGCTCTGAAAACAAACGTTACAAATAGCTAAAGTGGCAGCGCACAGGGTCTAGTCGGTGCCAGGCCAGTGCTCCTGACATTGACCGCGGAGCCGTGGAAACCGTTAATGTGTCATGCTGTGTCCCCTGTACCCTTTGTCCCGCCACAACTCGCCCCGCCAGCCTTGGCCGCGAGACGCGTCCGGATCTATTGTTTATGGGTTGAGATGCAGATTCGAAACAAAGTGCTCGCAGAGATATTAAATATGTTATTTGTTTGTTGTTGCAGATAAAGGGAGGCTTTGTGTGAGTTGGAAGAATGTCGAATCATTATAGTCGTACAATGAATTGGTCAAGTCTTTCTCTTGGTTCGCTGATCGATATGAACCTAACTTTTTTGTATGAAAGGAACCTTTTTATGCGTTCCATTTTCAGATCCTCTTCCACCACATTTTCTCTTATATGCAGTAAACCAAACTAAAACAAACAATATTCCCAACTGTGTTTCCTCAGTTGCCTTACAAAGAACAACACCAAGGTCGCTGGGACAGATGTAGGGACAAGTCGCATCTCCAGTCAGTGGCCCGTCTAGCCGGCGGGCGTTGGCACGTGACATAGCCCAGACGGAGAGGGAGACGGGTAGGGGAGGAGCCGGAAGAGATCTTCGCCGACGGGCCGATCAATGTTGGCCCACGTCGGCAGTTTCGTCGCCAGAGTGCGTCATGCCCCTCATTGGACTAAACGTTCGCCTCTCTGCAGCGACTAAGCATGCAGTGTATCGTGTCCCTATGTGGACTAAGCAGTAAGCATTATACAGTGTATGTATACGTGTCCCCTAAATGTAAGCACTGCAATAGGCAAGCTTTAATAGGATGGCTACACCCAAGTACATATGTAAGTTTACGTATACCTATATTTTTCTGAATACCTATTTTTTTTATATCGTCTAGCTACTTGCTCCGAAGCAAATGGCAGGTGGGTATGAAGATTATGCGGAGGCGTCATAATCCCAAACGCCAAATACTGCTAGCCACAAATTCAATTGAACACGTAACAATGTGAAGGACAACAATGGCATCGATGGTCACAAGAATGTCATTGTTTTCATATATAGGCTCATTCCTTATGGTCATTTAGCACTTGCGCTGTTAGCGCCGCACTGGCTGCCTCTTACCATACAGCAAAGGGCCATATGACGGTTGTCGCCGCACCAAGAACAATTTATCTTTCTTATCCATGGACAGCATAATGGGAGGCGGAATGCTAGCTGGTATCCACCGTAGCAGCCGTAATTTGTCATGCCTTTGCGTCACCGGCAGAATGATAATGGTCATAACAAAATGAGTATGTAGCCCACCTTTAACCACGAATAAAGCTTGGCCCATCACCTCAATAGTGTCTTGCCGAACACAAAGAGTTAACCTAAACCACTAATGTCGAATACTCAACATACCTTTTGTCGTTATCGACAAAACTTAGATCCTACTACCGTTTCAAAAGAACTGTGTACATGATAAATAATTCCGTGTTTGATTTGCCGCATTCATTGCAGCGAGAACCAATATGGCAAAGCATCGTATACTGAAATATTTGTTTTAAACAAAGCTTGTATGAAATAAATACCTATACTTGATTTTACCGAGGAAAAGAGCTTTTTGCTATGTCCATTTGTAGAGACAGCGCTCGCGTTTATTCGTTAAATCTTGGACAGATCAAAAAGTTTTATCATCGACTTCAAACAGCTGAATCAAATTCAGCGCGCCTGGCAGCAGCCAAAAGAGCAGCGGATAGCGATGCTTGAAATATGCTGTTTCTGACAGGAGGCCAGTACATTAATTAGCGAACTCCACCCTCCGGTCAGATCAAAGTTAATAGCCAAAACTCCGCCCCAAAGTGGATAGAATTTAGATCCAGGCTGCCTGGAACCTGGCATAACACGAAGTTGGCGAAACTTAGATGACTTTTATGTTGTGTTGTGTGTCTACTAAGGGCTGCAACAGTTACAGTTAAGAGAATAGCAGAGCAGCTCACAGTGGCATTGCGTTTGTACACCATGCTTGCTGTCGTATCACTGTCCGATCTAGGCTGCCGTTATTGCTGCTGTTTGCCAAATGGTCACACAAATAGTATTGCCTTCCAATCTCCACTTCTTGCACAATGTATCTACTCTACTCGTACAGTGTATGCTTGGCACGGACATTGAAGCATGGCTAAAAGCACTTTTAGTTGAAGAACCAGCTGATTTTCACTTTAGTTAACGAGGAGCCGCTCACGACAAAAGCGGTCGGGCGGTGCCGCGATACGTCAGTCATTGCGCACATCGCTCATCCGGCACGCATGTCTCTGACGTGTGACAAAGGTAGGCCGCATGGGCTCACCGCTCGGCGAGGGTTCATTAGCTGTAATAACTATACCAGAAAACAGGCCGCAGAATGTCATGGCGGCACCCGGAATTCGGCGCGGCAGCTGTCACAGAAAGAGATGCCACGAATGTGGTGTGTTGTGTGATGATGGGGGATAGCACTACTATATGATGACCGGATAGAACATTTGCGGCGAGAACCGTCGTAACAATGCTGTAATAATGATCGTTTTTTGAAACATATGACCATAATAAACCTGAAGTATTCTTTTAGTTTAAATCGTCCATCGTGTATAGCGCAAGAAATCACTTTCCGGCTGAATTGTTCACTGCAGCGATTTAATTGCTTATCAGACGGCTACCTGATTGCTGAATAACGTGCATATGTTCCTGATTGATGCAGCCTCTCAATTTCGTCGGAATCTGGAGGCCGGCGTTTCAATCAGGCCAGATGAACTTGTAATTTAATCAGCCTCTCATCATTTCCATATCGCCTTGATCGAACCAGCACGAGCCCCGCGAGATTCAGGCATTTTCCGAGCCCGTTCTCGGCTGCTGGCGCCGATCAGGGGTTGTGGGTGGGGGGAGGGGGTGACGGACATGCGTCACTCGTCACGGCGGCGTCACACGTCACCAGACGGTGTCACACGGCGATGACGGCTGGTGGCGGCGGCGGACAGCGCCTCACCCATCTGCAGTCGCACAAATACACAGCGCCGCCGACGGAGCCGCGCCGCCGCCTCCGCGGCCCGGCTGGCGGCGGCGGAGAGCGCGCCCGTCCACCGCCCCGGCAGCACGCCACCGGCCGTGCTCCGCTACGGCCGTACTCCAGTAGAGACGTGCTCCGCCCCAGTCGTGCTAGGGGAGTGCTGAAATACTGAAATAACGCCGCTATAGTGACTTGTGAGTGCGCTGTGAAGTGACAGTGAAAAAGTGTTCGTAACTCCACCCTTGCCAGTCGCGCTCATCAAGTGGTCTTGGTATCTGCGGTCTCCATCCCGACAAGGCAATTTGTCGTGTCTGTGAACCGCGCGACGGCCGCCGCTCTTCTTGAGACACCCTACCGGAAACTCCGTCTGGCGTGATGTGATTGATGAGCGTCCCCGGCCGTCTCGTCTGCGGCGCCCCGCGGCGCCCCTCCTCCGGCGAGGCCCGATCGGTGAGATTGGCACCAAAGCTGCCGACGTGAGCGGCTTACGTCGAGTGTTTGCAGACCGTGTCGCCGCGGGCCGGTGTGTTTTGGTTCGGTTCGGACGATCGGTTCTCGTCCAGGGTGACAGAGGACGTGAGGACAGGCGATCGGTGCAGCGCGGAGAGGAGCGCAGAGACTAGCCAGAGCGGCGTGGTGGAGAGGTGTTTCGGGGAGCGGGGACGTTCGACCGGCAATTGTTGAAATGTGACTGTTCAGTGAGTGGAGCCCCTTCAGACGAATATCGGCCGGTAATCGGTGATCGATAGCGGGACGTCAACCGCGCCGGATGATCGCTCCGAATGACAGCCGCTGGTGATTGGCTACGTTTATTGCCCATTACTAGTGATATATCGGAGAGAAGTAGATGTTCCGGGCTAACTTGCGTTCGCTGTGAACCGTAAAATGTTCAGAGCTTCATAAGTCTTTAAATGTCACAGTGAGCGGTCAATTATCAAAACGGGAGCGATGGCGATTCACTTCATGAGCTGGTGAACAAAGGACACAGAGAGCGCCTATGGCACCAATGGCCCTGTTGGAAGACTCGTTAGAGATGCTGCTGGACGCCTTCCGCCAGTGCGCCGGTCTGATGCTCGTGCTGGGCACGTTCACGCACCTCTGTCTGTGGCTGGTGGGCCGGCGAGTGGTGCGGCCGCGCCTCTACTTCAAGCCGTCATCGCTGTCCCGGCACCTCCAGCGACACATGTCTGCCCTGGAGCGGCCCTTCACCGTGCCCCGTCTGCTGATCCCGCGTCACCTTCAGACCCTGCTCGGTCCGCTGGCGGTCGCTGCCGGGACTCCTTCCCCACCGCTGCTCTATCGTCGTCAGTACCTGCAGCTGCGAGACCGGTGCAGCGTCCCACTCGACTGGGCCGAACCGCTGGGTGGCGGCACGGCTGACCCCGCCGCTCGGGTGCTGCTCGTGCTTCCCGATCTGCTCCTGGACGACTCGCGACTGTACGCGCCCGTGTGTCGGCGTGCCTTGGCCGCTGGCTGCCTGCCTGTCGTGGTTAACTTCAGACAGCTGGTGAGGAACAACCTACCGGCCAGCCGGGTGGCAGCTCTGTACGACGTTACCGACCTGCGCTGGGTGGTGCGTTATATGCTCGCCGTCTGTCCTGGCCGAAGACTAGCCGCTGTTGGGTTCGGCAACGGCGGCAGCCTGCTGCTGGCCTACCTGGGAGAGCACGGCATCTCCTGTCAGCTCGCCGCCGCCGCTGTCGTGTCACCTGCCTGGAGTTACGCGGCGCACCTCTTGGGGGACGCGTGCGCGCCGTACGCCGCGCTCACCACGCTCCGAGAGAAGTACCGGGTGTACCGACGAGCCACGGACTCTTCCACGGTCGTCGGAGGAGCTCCCGACTGCGATGGAAGTTTCGCAGACTTCCACCGGCGCGTGCACGGAGATGACGAGGAGCGACACAACCCCGTCATCGACATCGACGAGGTGTCGGTGCCGCTGCTTGCCGTTCACGCCGACGACGATCCGGTGTACGGCGCTGCAGGCCTTCCTCTGCAGCTCTTCACCGCTTTCCCGCATCTCTTCCTCCTGCGTGCGCCCCTCGGAGGACACTGCGGCTTCTACACGGGCAGCGGTGTCGGCGAGGCGGGTGGCAAGAACGGCAGGAGTGAGACTGCAGGGAGTGTATCCTGGGCGGCAGACACAGCGGTGCAGTTCATCGACTCCGTGTGCGGTTTCCTGGACGCAGAGGACGCGGGTGGAGCCGGAGGAATCGTCCGCGCGGCGCGGAGAGTCGCCGCAAGAGTAGCGCGACGCTCGGCCGCTGCGGCTGCCCCGCGGGCGAAGAACCCCGGCCATACGTCGGACGGCGGTGGTCAGATCGTGGAGAGCACCAGACTCTCTGTGGAGGATGCGAACCGTTCTCTAGAGAGCGAAAATCGTTCTCAGGAACGCCCGACCTGTCCTCAGGTGGATGCAAATCGGTCTAAGGAACCCGCGAAACGTCCTGTAAAGTCAACAGGTGTAAGCGGTGCTTCTAATGGCGTTGAGCTCATTCCAATAGGGGCATCTACTTCAGCTAGCGGTACAGCTCAATCCGTAGAAGAGACATGTGTGGCGTTAGAAGGTGGTGAAATGGAGCAAAGCAACAAGTCAGAAGGTTGCAAGACAGCAGAACCTACCGAAACATCGGGTGACACTCATGAAGATGGTGTAAGTTGCGCTGCAGATGGTTCCAAGCCTCTGATGGAAGGCAATGAAGTGGTTCTTATGAACTCCAAACGTACATGTGTGTCGTGCGGGATTGCGCTTAGGCCGTCCTCAGCAAACGCTAATGCTGACGAAAGAACTGATCGTGGAGCTGACCAAGCAGTTGATCAAAGTGACAGCACAACTACTGAAGGTGCATCAGGTGTAATGAGCTCAAAGGGGGATCAATGCGTTGATAATGTTGGACAGAAGAGTGACGCAACAGTGGAAGGAAATGTTTTATCCCACGATATTATTTTACGGGACATTAACTGCGATCGCTCTATATCAGATAGTAACATCCGTAGTGCAAGCGATGTCCAATGTGGAGCTATGTCAAACGGTGACTTGCTGGAGCCGTCCGGCACGGCGGATTGTGCCAGCGCTAATGGTGTTCCACCGCTGCAATGTACAGAAATACTCGATCAAAAACTCAACTACAACGTGTCCTAGCATTGAGAATCATCTGTGTGGGTCTCAAAGAGCTCTCTCGAAAGCTCTCAAAAGCTATCAAGAGTTTGTGTGTGTCCTAGGGATTAGGTATGATTAGAATCGTTAGCTGCAGCTGAAAAGGACGATTGCTTCCTTTGTGGTGATGTTGATGTTCCTGCATATCACATGTTGAGTGAGAATGTATATGTATAGGCTTGCAAATGTTCTAAATGTTCTGTCTACTCAAAAGCTTGGCCAAGCGATCCCGTGCGCAAATGACCTGATTGTTGAGAGCCGTAAAGTTACGGCTTCTAAATGTTCTGTTAAATGTTGACCATAAGCTGAGCGTCACTGCACCCAAATCAAATGCTCATAAACTTTTCAAATAGATCCTCTCTGATCTTGCTTTATTACATTTCTGCAACAAATTGCAACAATTGTCATTGTAGTGATCCGTGATATACGAAATTATATACCTATAGAGCTTTTCCATGGAGCTGTAACAACACTTTACATAGTATCTGAAAGCATACCGACACGGACTTCATTTTTTTTTCGGTAAATCAATGATAAAAATGAAAAGCGGTTGGGGACAGTGGCCAGTGACATAGCCGCCTTGTTTCTCATTTTGATAATGAGATCGATTGTTTTACAACGCTCCCCACAAAGATACTGAACAGACTAAACATGTGCGACGAGACCTTTGATTGATCTTCACAAAACGTTTATTTTTCTGTGTTATTGGTAATCCCATTCAGCAATATAAACGATCAGCAATCATAGCAGAAAAATTTGTTACCGCCAAGCGTCACTTCATTTGATTGCGGGAGTCTCTCGTGGCTTTATCCATGTCTGCCTTAGGTGTTTTCCGTTACAGTCAGTTGACAGTTGGCGCAATCAACTGCCAGTCGCAGAAGTGGCAGTCGCAGAAGTGACAGGGACCTGGCAGTCACCACGCCGCTTTGCCATTGACCGCGAAGTTATGTTTGGAATTTGACCGCAATTCTAGCGGCATTCTGCACGTAAGTAGGTATGGTGTGATATTTCGTTGGAGGAAATCTGGTTGACAGTAGGTAATTAACATCGCCTAATTTCATTAGCTGTTTTTTATGAGGATTTCCGCTTTGAATTTGTAAAGAGAGGCGTGTAGGGGAGAGTGGGGCACATTCGTGCAAAAAGTGGATAAATCCATGTATCTGTTCGTCGGTTAGTGCAATAGCAAAATTGTTGATTGTAGTATGGAAAGGAACTATTGCAGATATTTTTCCTCTTTAACCCTATGTACTCGTATTAGTGGCAGGCTCCTGGCTACCCCTATTAGTGGCAGGGGGGGCTGTTTGCGACCCCCCCTGATATCTCGAGATCTAACGGGCCGATTTTCAAAATTCAAACGGCATTCGATTTCGCTCAACGTGATCTACATTTCTAAAAAAAAAAATGTCAATGGGGGGGGGGGGGTAGAGGGGGGTAAAACGGGCAAGTTGCAGATACATTTTAGACTGTTTATCACGGCCAGGTTTCTGAACCAATCTTAACGCAACTTTTGCCGATCGATAGAGAATGAACCAGGAATTCACATGGATCCTAAAAATATGCATTTTCAAAAATCATAGGCGGATACAGATCATTGAGATTGGGGGTTCACAAAAAGTATAGTAAATAAGGTTTTTGTTGGTACTGTTTTGTTGGTACTAAAAAGGGTGGTAATGGTCTTGTTATGTTACAATTTTCATATGAGAGAACGACTACAATTGTACCAATTGGTCATGCATAGGCGGTGTCAGGGCACCTATGCTGGGAGGTAAAACATAACCCCCCTTTTTGGACGACTGGATCCGCCTATTATAGCAAAAACGTGTCAAAAGAGGATGCACAATAACTTTGTATATGTTATCACATGATACCTTTCATTCACTGTTCGTAAAACTGGTGCATACAGTTAAAATACATCAGCATCGTGATCTTCGCCCAAATGACTCGCTTCACGAATAGGACCCCCCAATTCCCAGTGCTCTGGAGCCACCCCTGGTAAAGTTATGAACTTGAAATTTTCAGGGAATGTGCCCAATTTAGTTTTAGGAAAAGTCAGAAAATTTCAGCAACGTAGCTTCAGCGGTTTCGGAGATATTCCCGAAAAACCTGAGGGGTGGATGAAAACAACCCCCCCCCCCTGCCACTAATAGGGTTAAAAGCTATCCTCTAAAGTTACCGCTTCTATTAGAAAAAAAAATACTTTTAATAACTCTGAACGTTTGCACGAAACTGCCCCAGGTATGGGGCACATTCGTGCATGGGGTGGGGCACTTCCGTGCACCCTGCAATATTGGAGAAATTACCGGGCATTGCCAGAAATTTACCAAAAGAAATTGGCAGGGGGTCATTTTACTTGATTCCTTTCCTCAAGAATGCATTGCACAACATATGTAGAAAGAATGGGCCGGCCAACAAGAATCTGCCGACCGCCGGCCATCGACCCGCCTCCGCGTGACCTCTAATTACTTGTCACGACGTCGCAAGCAGCCGAGACTGAGTCAGGCGAGCGTCACTACTACAGATAAAGTCACAAATCGCAAAAATGAAAAAAAAATGTGCAGAAATGTGCCCCTAGGCAGTGCGTGCACGAACTTGCCCCACAACCTTACCTATTTGTAATATAATTCAAAACTTCTTATTTAAAAAATGATAGTTTTTCAACAAACAAGTTTGCAGCAGTTCCGTGAATAAAGTGAGCTTCTTCGGACCCAATTTTGAAAAGTTAAACCACATTTCCGAGTCAGGATCACGAAAATGGATGATATGAGAAAAGTTTGGAAAGCCCACGAATATGACAAATTTGCGTGTTGTCTTCTACAGTGAACGAAGGGCGGCAATGATAGACATATTTTCATAATTTACCTTTAGCTCGTGCAGTCACTCGTCTTCCCATAAACTGCTGAAAACGAATGTGCCCCATGCACGAATGTGCCCCACTCTCCCCTACATATGCAGTCTCCAGGGAATACGTCAAATTCCACACATAATTCATGACCACTTTAATGTTGGCACACGTCAAGACTCATTATTTTATCAACGTCCTATGCATAGTTGATCTCGTCGGAGGACTGACAGGTACGGTAGATATGTTATCATTTCAGTTTCCTAGCATTGTGCACTTTTATTTCCTTTCAAGGGGAAAACGGACTGGTCATTGCACAAACACAGGACACCACTATATTGCATTCTGCTTATCATGTGAGTAGGGTGTATGAAAGCCGTTTTGGGCCCGTCTAAGAGAAATATTAGCTCGCACCAAACGTGCAAACATGGAATCCACATACGTGAAATGTACATGCATAATGTAGCGAGTCCGAACCAGTAGTATCTTATCGAGCGGTCCTGATTTTATTTGTCTATCAGCTAAAAACTGTTCGCCTTGTTTGTTAAACATAGATAAAATGTCTTGCTAAGCACGAAGAAGAAAAGCGGATAGACGAAAGTGGCTACAGGCCTACATATGTATGAAAGCGTGCTGATCATGATTCATGTGCCCTTCTGCAAGCTAACCTGACCTGTAAAGAAAGATCTTTCACCTACTGTTGCTTGGTGGTAGCCCTGCGACAAACTACAGACCGAGCTGAAAGTAAATCCTGTGAAGGCAATGGCATGCTCCCCGACTCTAAGCCAACAAACTTCCGCGTGATTCGGCGTAGCATAACATCGTAAAACCGTACACCCAGCCGTAATTACGGACTACGACGCTCGATCTATTACTGCCACGCTCGTAACATTTCCCTTATTGACACGAAGCACAGCGTGTATAATGCGTTCCGGCACTGACTTCCCTATGAACATACGTGAGCTTAGAGCAAATGGTGGACCGAAAAATACAATAAAGTATAGTGCAGAGCTGATTTGTCTGGCGTCTATTAGACGTGTTACTAAAAAAAAAAAAAAACGCAATATAGTTGCCGGCTATCCTTCATTGAACAAATTGCTCGAATTTTCGAAGACGGACATCGAGTACAATAATATTTTATCCAATGCCCGCTGTTCGCAATCAACTGTTTAGTGGCTATGTCTCCCTTATCGAGATTCCTCAGTGCGATTGGACGAGTCATCTCGTGTAGCCGCTGTGCCTTACGACCACTGCATTGTTGCTACGTTGGTTTCTCAACCTGCAGGCAGCAGCGGTTGGCGAGATATCTAATGTTCATGCGGGTCACACATGTCTACTGTCACATGCCCTCGGGCTTCAGAAACTAATATGTGGTGTAGGTATATCCCCATAACGAACAGATACAGCGGCTTGCGCTGCTTTGTAAAAACAATATCGCTTCGGCATGGTAGGATAATGAGAATGTGATATGCTTGCTGTGGCTAATCTAGCGCTATCCCTCAGGTAACTTGATCAGGTAATTCAGGGCTCGCTCCGTCCGCTACCGCCTTTCGACTAAGGGGAGCAGAAAAGGATATAACAGTCACAGTCGACTTCAGAGTGGTATGTACCCTTAAGTACTCCAACCACTAGTTACGTGCAAAATCATGACACTTGACTCATTGGTTCATGGACGAAGACATTGACCCAAGAGTTGGCATTATATCTAATCTATGAATCAAGCCCACTCTTCTGACATCAATGGCATTTTCATTTTAGGTCGGATCTTTGACCTATATGGCATCATAAGTGTACGTAGTTATTATCTGCCATAAGAGCGAACAAAATAGTAAAAGTGTCATCTCTCATCGCATGCGACGCGCTGCGTTCGGCAGACGACCACCCTTCGGTATGGCGGCCGTGCTCCCGCGGGGCGCAACCTTATCTCGACTGCAGAGCTGCCGCAGCTGCCTACAGCTGCCACGCCTCTGATAGCGTCACGGCGCCTATCGGCTTTGTCACAGGCAGCTGGGTGCGGGGACAGTCCCCTGATCAGCGCTGGAGCCGACGGGACTGCGTGGGCTGGGTTGGGTGAGGGTGGAAAGGGTGGATGCATGCCGCGGGACCAATTAGGTATGCCTGGATGTAGGGAGATTTTCGGAAGGATGCTAGTCATGGACTGAGTGATGGACGTGGAAGAGTCTGGCAGGAATCCGAGATTAGGCAGTCCCGGAATGATGGAATGAAGACGGAATAACGGAAAGTGGTGCTAAATTGTGTTTGTCTTTGCCAAATAAGCGGCGGCAAACAAATCTTGTTTGCTCAGGGAAGCACAAATGTTGGCTTTGGATGCTGGATTAGCCAGGCAGGCGTCAGCCAAACAGGTAAACAATAGCCGGGTGGTATATCCGAGGGCTGACAATAGGCCGGACACCGGATAATGCCCTCGGGTTTTACCTTGTCGTGATCCAACTACTAACCAGACCGGCACCACTCTTCTGTGAGCCATTTCAATCACTGACGAGGACACCGAGCGTCTCTGAAACAGGGCTAGCCACAGCTACTGGATCTGCCTCCTTACTTAACTGATTAAGGTCGTAACTCTAACAAAGCTCAGTGGATCAGCGATCTCGTCTGGAGCGATCGCCCGTAATCCGGCGGTGCGTTCCATCGATTGCCGAGAGTCCCGACTCGCGATATAGCGCCACCTACACAGCGAGCTCGAATCTGCTAGCACCACCTAGCCCGCGCCCC